TGTTTTAAGTTCATGTTCAAAATAAGTTTTAAATTGAGTTTGTCTTTTGTGAGAGCGAAGAGAAAAAAAAAGGTTTGAAGGTAAATATGCAAGTGTTACATATAAAAGAGAACAAAATATTGCAATTTTGTTTTCCGTATTAATGCTTCTACAAAGCTTAAAATCTTTATTACATATAAAAGAGAACAAAATAGGGTTACTACAGGTTAATCGTTCCTCAACCTTTTCAAAAGTCATTAATTGTTTGTTCTAAATTATAATGTTTACACATACCCCTCTCCTAAAGATAGAGATAGGCACTAAACATTATGTAGAGGAAAAGAAAAAAAATATTCAGATTTGTGATTTTTTTTTACTAAAATACATCAAATTTCCTTAGGATATTTAGAAATATTTTACTAAACTCTCTATCCCAAATAAATTTAGCGAGAATTGAACTAGCCGTTGTGACAATTGTGCAAAAGTTATTGTGTTCTAAATAAACCAGGAAATATATATAGTCTATTTTCCTTGAGTTTTAAAAATAGATAAAATTGACAAAATTGAAAATTATAGGAAAACTCGAAAACTAAAGAATATATGTACTAAATAAGTCATAAGTGTTGTATACAGGCTATAAATACTAGGCGCGCCAAATGCCATGGTAGATTAATTACCTATGGTAAGAGATAATTTATAGTGAGTTTCTAAATTATGAAAGATTCACACAATTACCACTCTGGACATATTGCTTTTCTTAATATAACTCTTTAACAAATAAATAATGAATATTACGTGTATTTACTATATAAATATGGTTTATGCCAGCCAACTACGCGCATATTTTATATTTCTTTTTTTATTATATTATTTATCTTTTAACTTTAATTGTGTTATCAATCAGAATATAAGAATAGATCAGCTATGTAACATGCGGCTCCAATAGCTAGCCTGATGCTTGATCTGCACAACTAAGATGAACATTAAAATCATTGTCCAAATTATGTTAATCTTAGTATAATATGTTTATGATTACATAAACATTCCTAGATTTCTCAAAACATAAATATTAGAAATTCCATTTCATTTATACATAAAAAAGTAATATGATAACATAATGTGAGAATATGTATACATTCTAAATAAAAATAAATAAATTATAATATCCACAGGTCGTATTAGTCGGCGCGCCAACGACGCGCTCATTTTCTAGTTGTACTGCTAGAGAGAAGTACTTTTCATGGTATTCGAAGTAACAACACCACTAGATGAGTTAAAAGTAAAAATAAATTTTAAATAATGTGAATATATTAAATATATATTGGAGTTATTTTGTCATGTATCCTATTTTAAATATAGTACAATAGTTTTAATTGGATCTTAAAAAATAATATAGGATTTAAAAGATATAAGCCACAAAAACGTTTTAAAAAAACTAGTGCAATATACTAATTCTATAGCATGTGAACTGCATGCACTATTTTTTTTGGAAAACTTCATGTGGGTATAGATGGCCAAAAGGCCCGCCCGGCATGGCCCGGAAGTGACTGGGCCGGCACGGCCCAATGGGCACTTGATGCCGTACCGGGTCTGCCCACGGGCTACACCTCAGGCCCAGGCACAGCCCAATACCACTCGGGCCGTGCCGTGTCAGCCCAATGGCCCGATCAGCCCACCATGCCTGGGACAGCCCAGGCACGGCAGATAGTATTGCACCTCGATCAATTCATTTTTGCACAGGCAGGTTGAAAAATGCAAACTTCTACATCAAAAATCATGCACAATCACAAGTTGATAAGTCAAAACTCATAAAATCATCCAAATTAGAAGCTGACACTTCATTACTTCAATGTTGTACACAAAGACACAGTTCAGAAGTCACAAACTATATTAACAGCAATATTACACCATTTTACATTGGCAATTTCATAAACATTACAAATCACTTAAACATTCACCACTTTACAAATCTCAGATCAGGCATTCACCATTCATTCATTCACCAATCAGAATTCACAAGTCACAAATCACACAAGGCACAAGAATTTCAAAAATAAAGTTGTTGTGTAATGCAATGGCTGCCTCGTTAAAAACCTTTCTAGGTAAAATCTCACACCTCGTGAGAAAACCCTAGAAAGGAAAAAAGAGTGTAGCCCATAGCTTTCAAGTGTTTTCATAATAAAGTCCAAGTCCAATACAGTCATCCAGTCTCAGTGGCAATGCCTCTGCCAATGGTTACATCATCAAGATACATATTCTCAAAAGATTTTATAAGCTCTACATTCTCCATGGTGTGCTGCAATTTTCTATCTGCTTGCTCCCAGTCTTTGATCAATGCCAGAGCTTGCACCATGTCAGGACCTAGATGCCATCGTCGCTCCTCGATGATCCTGCCAGTTAAGCTAAAAGAGACTCCGACGATATAGTAGAAACATGAATAGCCAAAACATCTCTAGCTAATATGGAAAGAATAGGATAGGAGTGGCTGTGCTCATGCCACTAGTTAAGGATATTGAAGTCATTGTCGAATTGGTTGTCAGTGTCACTACCACTAGCACCAGCACCAAAAATCTTTCCCCAAGTTGTCTTTTTCTTACCAGAAGTACTACTTGGAGTTGTCCTTTGTAATCTAACAGCACCAAACTTACTTTCATAATTAGAAAAAATATCATACATTGCAGCCCTAACCTCAGTTAAATAAGCATAAGTCATAATTTGCGACATAATTTGTAGAACATTGGTAAAACCTTTGATCTTAGCCCTAGGATCCAAGATAAAAGCAAATGAATACAGAAATGGAATCGTAGACCAGTATGACAAGAACTTAGTTTTCATGGGAATAACAACAGATCTAAAGTTCCTACCATTCTCATAAGTCTTTAGATGTCCAGCATTCACAAGAATGTGATGTATAATTAATGGAGATGTTGGATAATAAACACTAGAAAATATAATAGTTGAATCATAAAATTGTTCAAGGAATAAAAGAATAGTTTCAACAACTGTCCACTGTAAATCAGTTAGTAATGCATGATCATCAACAGTTGGATGGTGAGTAGCAATAAACACCCCAAAAATCTCCCTATGTGGCAAGAGATGCTTAAGCATTAGATAAGTTGCATTCCATCTAACATCCATGTCCAAACCAAACTTACGAGGATGAACACAATGCGCTGATTAGATGCATTCACAAATGGGATGACAGTTCTAAAATCTTGAAGCATGGGTTTGAAAACATCTAGACTAGCCTTAACAATTAAATTGATGATATGACATGCACAGCGTTGATGCAAATATAAATCACCAACATAACCAGAATGCAGAGGTTTTAGACTATCCATTGCATTAACATTAGCAGAGGCATTGTCTAGAGTAATAGAAAAAAAAATCTTATTAGTCAAACTATACTCTTCGCATAGAGAATGTTTACTAATAGTTCTAGGTTTGCATGACTTAATATGTCTAAGCAAATGACCAGTACCACTAGATAAACGAGCGGACAATGTTTTTTTTTGCAGAAATTACATTTACCAGAAATGCGAACCCGACGACCATTGTGTGATTCAAAGAGTTCTTGAAGTCATCCAATACCTTGGATGATCTTGGCCGCTTGTTGCTAGCACTTGAGCCGGCCGGATGACACGCTAGTGCCACCATCACCGGTACCATCCACGTCTGGCTCCGTCTCTGGCTAAGACCCATCGTTCTGAGGTGACGAAGTGTTGCCGTACACCTGCACGCGTTCCTCCTTTATGTCATCTTCGTCATCACCCTGCATCCCCATCGTCCTCAACTCGTAGTTGCAAGAGGTTGGATCGTCCATCGTCGGCACTCTGGTTCCTCAATGGCGGCTACCACTCAGCAACCTACAACACACAGATAGAGCAGAGAGCAGTTAGGGATAAGAGAGAGCAGGAGCACATAGCAGAGAGAGAGAGAGAGAGAGAGCAGATAGAGGTCTGTACCTGCGCATCCGGAGCACCGGAGTTGCCGTTGATGATACAGATCGATGGATCTATGAGAAGAAGAGAGCAAAGATTGGGTTTGGGGGGTGATCTGACAAAGAGCTCACAGAGAAACAACAAGGGTGGCAAAAAAAAAGTACAAAGGGGAGAGGAAATCGACAGTGCGGCCGTCGATCTGATGATCGGAGACGAGATGATGTCACGCCGTCACGGATCCGGCGACCGGAGAGGCAGAGATGAAAGAAAAAGGTAGAGCAGAGACGGCCCTCGTGTCCCCAGCGGGAGCCCGCCGATCCTTGGTGGTAGATCCGGTGAGGCGTTCATCGGAGACGGCGACGGAGAGGGATGGAGCGATGGAGGTGGAGGCGTGAAGCGACGGAGGCGGAGGCACGGAGCGGTTGAGAGGCAGCTAGGGTTAGGGTTTGTGATTGGGGCCACGTTGAGGTGGTGGCACGGAGCGGCGGCCTTATATATGCGGCGGGCGACGGCTCGGCAATGGGCTGGTCGGGCCATGCCTACCGTTATACAGTGCATGGGCCGTGCCGGCCCAGCGTGCTGGTGGGGAAGCCCAAGCACGGCCCGACGGTCAGGCCGGGCCGACAAGGGCACGACCCCTAGTTGGGCCGTGCCATGCTTGGGCCGGGCCATCGGGCCTCGGGCCTTATGGCCATCTATACATGTGGGTAGGCTAGTATGCGGTGTTTCTATTTTCGATAAGTACGTTGCGTCACTGCTTAGCTAGGACTAAAGCGCTACCGTGCTTGTTGTAGTCGTGTCCTTAATACATGTCTCTAGCCATTGTGGTTCCAACTAATACAATCATATGAAACGCACGCACACGCACGCAACAGAGAAAAAACACCCATGCACCGCATGCATGCTAGTAGCTTGTACCGATCGAAGATACCTAGCTGGCTACCTAACTCATCGTCGTGCATGCCACCCCACTAGCTACCTACGTCGTACACACCCCAACGTGCATGCCACCATCACCAAATCCCTTTCTCTATATTAGACGTACGCTAATCCCATGGATGATCACAGAATTATATCCAAGAAAACCAACTGACCAAGAAGAAACTCTCCTCCTGATCACAGAATTATATGCAAGCCTCGTCGTCGACGCGCCCCCTGGCTCCCTCCTGCGTGGCGTGCGGCCTCCTGGCGCCATGCCGGAGAGCGCTCGCGCGCCTCTTCCGCATCCCGGCGTCCGCCGCGCTCTCCGTCAGGGCCTTCCGCTTCCGCACCCTCCGCAGGGCCGCCTCCAAGATGAGCCCGCGCCGCCACCGCCACTGCCGCCACCCACGACGACGCACGTTCCGGTCGGTCCGCGCGGTGTTCTGGCCGCTCGTCCCGCCGCCAGCTACCACTACTGCGTCCTCCACTGATCAGGGCGAGAGCGCCGCCGGCGCCACCGCGCGGAGCGTGGTAGCACCGGAGGAGGAGGCGGCGGCGGAGGAGGAAGAAGCGGCGACCGTGCTCGCGCCAGTGCCGTCGCCGGAGACGCCGGCGTACGTGAAGATGGTGGCGCGGCTGCGGTCGAGGAGGAGACGCGGGGAGGAGGAGGAGGGGCCGTGCCGGAGCTTCGAGGAGCGGCTGATGGAGATGCTGCTGGAGGAGGGGAAGGTCCGGGACCAGCAGGACGTGGAGGAGCTCCTCCGGTGCTGGGAGCGGCTCAAGTCGCCGGTGTTCGTCGAGCTCGTCTGCAGGTTCTACGGCGAGCTGTGCAAGGATCTCTTCTCTCCCGGCGAAGAAGACGGCGGCGACGAGGGCGCCTCGTCCACAACCACAATCACACCGGCTGGCGACTCTAGTTAGGGTGATATGAGAGTGATCATATTGATGGTGATGAACTGATGATACATCATATACCACCTTGTATTTATTATTACTAGAAAAAAGGTCGTGCGTTACAACAGGTGAAAGCTATTTTAATATTATTATTGTTATATGATTTAGTTAAGATGAAATTCACTGTATGAATACGCTTGGATATATATATTTTTAGAAAATCATGAGCTACCGTTAAGAATCCGTTCGTCTAAAGATAGCATGCAAGTTTTCTTATACAAATCCTTTTGTATTTCCAAAAACGAACGAATTTAAAAACCGACTCAAATACGGATATGTACTTCAAAAATTGAATGAACTGGAAAACCGACTCATACACTGATGACGTACCAAAGTACCGGCAAAAACATCTTCAATTTTTATAATAGTAAAGATATAACCGACTTAAACATGGATGACGGACCGCGGAAACATCTTCAATTTTTATAATATACTAGAAAAAATGCCCGTGCGTTGCAACGGGTAAGGGTTATTTTAATCTTATTATTGTTATACGGTTTAATTAAGGTATGCTTGGATATATTCATTTAGAAAATCATAAGCTGTAATTAGGAGTCCGATCATCTCAAGTTATCATGCAAGTTTTTTTAAAGAGATTTCTTATACAACTACTTATGTATTTCCAAAAGCGAAGTAACTTAAAAATTGACTCAAATACGGATATGTATTTCTAAAAGTGAACGAACTTAAAAACTGACTCATACACGGATGATGTACCAAAGTACCGTCAAAAACATATAAACTTTATAATAGTAGAGATTAGTATAGATACATCTAATGAGAAATAGTTATAGGGTTAAAAATGAAAAGGTGCCATTGGTGTGTGACAAACCGGCAGGTTCGTAAGTGGCCTTGGGATTGCTTTTTCGATTGTTTGTTGTAGCAGTTCTCTGGATTCATTGTTGTATTTCTGGGGTTAATTCCATCCAATTTTGAGTCTAAATCGAATCCACGTCACAACTTCCTTTCATGTTGAACTTGGTATCCTTCCTGCCTGGCTTTGTTCGATTTTCAATTTTGTTTCTGTTTGAGTCTATTAAGAATCGGGGTGGATTGCTTTGTTCAAAAATTTCAATGTGACGATTGCAAGATGGTTCAATTTAGATTTAATCTAAATCACATACGAGTACATCAAGTTGTTATCTTCCTGCCACACTGCACACGGGCACACGGCTGGGGTTTGGGATCAAGGACAATTGGAGTGACGCGCAGACGCGCAGGCGGACTCGATCAGGCATTATTCGATTTTAAAATGTGTTCGGAAAGAAAGACACGCGACGCGAGCAATCGAAATCGGATTAGGAGCGACGTACGAAATTTCGTTGGCAAAAACATCTTCAACTTTTATAATAGTAGAGATAAGTAGAGAAGTGAATCATTTTCTATCTATAATTAACTTTTCCAACAGGTCAGTGACATCCAATTACTCATATATGTTCAGTTTAGGCTTGTTCATGTTCAGATGGGAAATTTACTCCGTCAACTATCATATTTGTAGTAGAAAATAATTCTCAACTATTAAAACTGTTTAAATTAACTCCTTAGTCAAACCTCGGTGTTATGTTGGGTGTGGGTGTGTTGGGGATGTTATGAAAATAAATACACAATAGAAATATAAATTTTTATGTGAATTTTTTTAAAAAAAAACCATGAAAGCTGACCGACAATGATAGACTTAGCTACAAATGTAGAGGATATTTAGCTACAAATGTAGAGATGCAATGGACCGTCCAACTCTTCCCGCGTGCGGCTTGCCAATCTTTAGGGCTAGGACAAAGGGTCATGCCACCCATCTCCGTCCAAGGGCCCAAATTTTTACATAGTTGCCTGCCCATACTCCTTCAGCCTATAGTTAGACTTGGGCCTTACAAGGGGCCTAAACATTGCTAAAGGTTGATGTGGGCTGTGGCGCTAGCTATAGCTCTCCATTTTCTATTTCTTCTCCGACTCAAAACTCTTCTCTTCTTTGCACATATAATTCTCCAAAATAATGTTCCAGATGCGTAAAATCTATAACGAGAGGCTTCTCAATATGGTCTTACACAGCGATGCCTAGCGCGGCCATCCGATTTAGTCAGGAAGCATGAGAGTTTAGAATTTGAGAGAAACATCAGAGTGTTAGAAATCCATATCTTTTTTTCCCTTCTTATAAAATTTTCTCTTAAATTACTTATCGGATCAATAATCTGATTACACCATAGTGTTCGTTGCAATTAAATCTTTACAACAAGATCTCACATGGTTATATTACGATAAAAAATTACAAATTATTTTTATAATATATCTAAATTACTTTTAGATTTCACTAAATTACTTCTTAGACATATAAAAGTAAATTCAATAAAGTCTAAAAGTAATTTACATATATTATAGAAGTAAATTAAGACAAAAAGAAATTAACTTTTTTATGACATTATAAGTAAATCCGTTGTAGGGATAAAAACAAAACTCTATCTAGAAACTAAATTAATCAGCACAAATTATGGAATTGACTAAAAATAGTAATAAAAGCAATCAACTCATAGCATTATGAATATATAAGAAGTAATTTGATCAAATCTAAAAGTAATTTATATATATAATAAAAGTAATTTACAAACAAAAATATTATTTTCATCATAATATAATCACGTAAAATATTATACAAATTTAATTGCAACGAACACAATGGTATAATCGAATCGTAGATCAGATAAGTAATTTAAGAGAAAATTGTATATGAAATTTAGATGGGTAATGAGGATGCAAGTGGCAGGTGCTACTACTTTTAGTATGAAGGGTAACGAGTGGATACACACTGTACTATTTTAGGTAAAAATGATGGTCGCTGGTTAGCACTAACGAGTGCATGCGCTCCCTGTAGTCGCATCCTTTATAGTTTTTTTTTCCTTTTTGCGATGATGACTGCAACACCCTAAAAATCCTAAATATATAAATTGTTGTTTAAATGAAATTATTAGAATTTATTTTAAAATCCTAGAAGAGAAGATCTAATTTTAATTAATAAATTCCAATATAAAATGGGGCCAGATAAAATTTCATTAAATACTTTGCTTAATTCTATAATTCCTAGATTTTTCTGGGATTTATTTGAGCTAAGGAAGTATTTTTAATAAATGGAATTGCATTTCATGAATAATTTAAATTGAAAAAGGTTTTTAAAAGTCTCTTTTGGCTTTGGGCCGAAAGTCAGCCCAAAACCATCTCTCTCTCCCCGGCCCAAGTCGGCCCAGTCCGCAGCCGCAGCCGCCCACGCGAGCTCGCTGCCGCTGACAGGTGGGTCCCGCCTGTCGGAGTCGTCGTCTTCCTCCGGTCGAAACCCTAGCGCCGCGCCGCCGCCGCCGCTTCCCAAATTCGGCCGCCCCTGTCCTTCTCCGCTGAAATCAATAGAGGGGAAATGATCTTCGGGATCTCCTCTACCTTTTCTCTTTTGGAATCATCGGCTAATTTCGTTTGGAAATCCGTGGATTCGAGGTCGATTCGGATCAGTCTCCCTCTCTCCGAACCCTAACCTTTCCTTCTCGTCGTCGGTCGCCGTGGGCCTTCGCCGCCGCCTTCTTGCCCCTTTAAAAGGATCCCCGGTGTCTCCTCTACCCGCCGCCACCCTTGCCTTCGTCTCTCGCCGTCGGAAGAGCTCTAGCGCCGTGGATCTCGTGCCGCAGTCGTCGCCGCCGCTCCAGCCGTGCGCCGCCGCCGTTCCGGTCGTCGTCGTCGCTCGGGGAGGTCACCATTGTGGTCGCCAAGTCACCGCCGTCCTCGTCCGCCCCTTTGCCGTCGCTGTAGACCGCCGGAGCACCGCCGTCATCGTCAAGCCGAAGGTCTCCGCGCTTCGACCTCGTCGCCGACGTCGTCCGTTGCTCCTCCGCCGTTGCTTTGGTCACCGGTGAGTTCGCCGCGATGCCCGCATCGTCCTGGTGCCCTCCGTTCGTGCCGAAGCGCCGTCGTTCGCCGGCGAGCTTGCGCGCCCGAGCCGCCGAGCCGTCGCCGGAGATGACGTCACCGCTGACGTCATCAGGGTCCGTCTGCCGTGAGCCGCCGTAGACCCGATCGATCTCGGCCGTCCGTTTTGGATGGATCGATCTCGGCCGTCCGTTTCCGTGAACCGCTGCCGTGCGCCCGGTCCACCGCAAACCCTAGCCGCTGACGCAATAACTCTTTTTTTCCTTTTCAAAAATAATTCATTATTGCGTCATAATTCAATTAAAATCCATATAAGTGTTTTAATCCGATTTAATCTTTAAAAATTCATAATTAATTCATCTTAGCTCGGATTTAGTTGGTTCAAGTCTCTAAATTTTTCTAAAATTGAGATCTACATGTTAAAAATATCCACATGTACTGTTCATGCTTGTTTATGTGCTGTTTTGGTGTTTTTGCTCTTTTCTGTTTAGATTCCGATGTTTCCGGAGAGTCCGTTTTCGTAGGAGAAGAATTTAAAGAGTTCCAAGGCCAGCAAGGCAAGTCATACAGATCCGAAACAACCCTTTGAGCATGTTGATCCCGTTTAAAGCTATTGTTTCTATTCAACTATTGCATTTATTTTCGAATGTCATTGGGTGGAATTAATCTATTGTTTGTTATAGCCCTTTTGTTCTTGATTACTTTATTCCTTGATACCTTGGGTTATTATAACTTGACTAGTTGAGCTTTATATATATTGGTTCAGCTAGATATTAGATATGACTGCTTAGCCATGCTTAGAAACATTAGCACATTATTGGGATAACTTATGACTCACTATTATTTAATGATGGCTTAATGATAGTTCACGATGGTTAATCGTGATTGGTTAATTAATTACTTGCCAACTAAAACTTGATAATGGTGGGTTGTGAGCACATGGTTTTGAGAGTCGTGCTCATGACAATTAAGGACCGGTTCACGAGTTTCGGTTGTGAAACATTAACCGTGCCAACCACAAGCCAGCGTGGGCAACGGCTTTACCTTTTGTACAACATGGTTCATTGCGGAGCACCAGACTGAGAAGTGGCGGAGATAAGCCCACGGGGGTCGCTGGGGAGTCCATGCCTTGTTTATAAGGGGGTGATTATGATCCAGGAATGGTGCGCTGTGGTGGATTGTGTTGTGCGAGGGGTACTGTCACAGCTCTTTTCTGAGATACCGTGGTGGTATTGAGGCACATGGTGACATGTTGTGGGGCTGTGTCTTGTGGGTACA